GGGCCCTGCTTGTGCGTCACAAGGATGCAAACTTGCACTTGACCAAGAAGTGCGGCACTGGCTTCTAAAAAGCAGCTCAGTTTCCTGAGCAAAGCAATAATATCAGCCGGATGTCACGATTTGTTTGTTCATCGACAAAAAAAGGCTCGACATTGCTTGCTTCTAGCTCCAACGATGCTCCACAAGGATGCAAAGCTGCGCTTGGCCAAGAGAGAGGCACATCCTTTGCACACAGGCTAACAGCAAAATCTGCGACACGCCCGTTCCCCGTTGCGAAGCATTGTTGCAAGTGGTTCCTGCTGACTTGTCGAATCTATGTTTCTAGCTTGATGCTTCTCAATTGCGCTTGCGAGCTGCTGCCACGTGAGCCGAAGGGAGCAAGGGAGCCGAACGCCAGTTACTGGATGCCAAGCAAGCCGGTTTTGCCCGAGACCTTCATTTTCCTGTTGAGGGCTGTAAGCAGGAAAACAGCCAGCTGGCAGCCCCAAAACTCGCAAAGAAGAAGCAGCTTCAGTTGGTTTTGCCCGGGACCCTGTTGAGGGCTGTAAGCATTAAACAAACAGCCAGCCGCAGAGACTGGGACACAGGGAGACAAGCGGGAGACACGTCACAAGAAAAATAGGAAAACAGACGCCAGCGTCACATCACAGCATCTGGCATCTGACCGCAGAGACTTTGGGGGACATAGGGAGACAAGCGGGAGACACGACCCCGGGCGTCCACAGCATCGGCGTCCAGAGACTGAATCTGGCATCCGACCGTAACACAGGGAGACAAGCGGGGCGACACAGAAAACAAGCGGGAGACACGACCCGGAGCCAGCGTCACAGCATCTGGCATCTGACCGCGGAGACTGGGAGACAGGGAGCAAGTGGGAGGAGACACGACCCCGCAGCCAGCGTCACAGCATCTGGCATCTGACCGCAGAGACTGGAAGACACAGGGAGACAAGCGGGAGACACCACCCCACGAGCGTCTGGCATCTGACCGCAGAGACTGGGAGACTCAGGGAGCGGGAGACACGACCCGGAGCCACGGAGTAGCGTCACAGCATCTGGCATCTGACCGCGGAGACTGGGAGACCGACCCCGGAGCCGGCGTCACAGCATCTGGCATCTGACCGCAGAGACTGGGAGACACAGGGAGACAAGCGGGAAGACAAGCGGAAAACAGGACCCCGGAATCGGCGTCACACTTTCCCATTATCTATACCTCAAGTTAGAACCCCAATACTTCGCTGTTTGGGGAAAAAAGGGACCTCATTAAAACTGCATGCCTGGAGCGAGGCTTGTGAACCACTCGCCCTGGAAGAAACTGGGACAACCCCGCCCTCCCTTGTGGAAAACTGGCAAAGGGCCGTCGCATGAGGCTTGGGGTGGCGCCATCAATCCAGGTGGGGCCTTTAAAAAAAAAAACGAAAAAAGATTTGCTTGAAGCCGCAAAAGCCCAAAGCCCGCCACGGGGATCTCCGAGTTCCACGACCCGCGCCTTGCAGCTCTGCGATCCCATGACATCGGCGCCAGCCGTCACATCCGCTTCGGGGAGCGCTGTGCGGCCAACCCTGACAACTGTAGCGGCAAGAAAACCACTTGGCTCTGTCCAGGCGAAAAATTGGATCTGGGCGGAAAGAACTTTGGCTGTTGAAGGCGCTATGCAAAAACTCCAAACAAAAATCGGCCCGATGTCTGCAGTCTGAATTTGCGCATGGCTCTGCTTGGAATGGCAAAGAGCTCTCCGAAACAACGGGTAAGTGACACGCAGCCTATCAAGCAGCCCGGATCTTCCACCGCAAAAGCAGACAGTGCTTGCAAAGTTGATGCAAGAGTTGTTGCAGCATGCACTACAAGCCACACCAATGTCTGGGGCCTTCTCAGGGGCTCTTAGACGAGTTCTGGGCAGCTTTTCTGGATAAGGGGGGACATGTGGGTCATCTCTCTTCTGACTTCTTGAATGCACAAGAACGATCCACCCGCAGATTCTTTCCGCCGCACATCTCTATCAGCTATCTGCCTGGATGAACGGCCGGGGGACCCGGACTGACTCGGGACTCTCCCCGAAGCCAATCAATCTCGCGGCGCGCCCCTTCTTACTCCGGGCTCGCTGCGTGAAACTGCAGGGATGAATTACCCACCAAACCTGACCAAAATATGTCGCTACGCTCAGAGGATAAATCTCACCTGGCCTCGGCGCGAGCAATTCGATATGGCCATGGGTCAAAATCCCGTATCCCCAGTGAACATTCCAATCCCCACTAGACTAGGTTCTAAAAATGGGTGGTGAATTCACCTACCCCAAAATGGGATCCCATTGGTTTTGACCCACAGCCATATGGGCAAAAAACCTTCTCCAAAAGAAATTGTCACGAGCCCCCGGGCAATCGAAGCTTGCGGGCTGGCGGGAGGTAAAGAGGGCGTGTAGGTCCTGGCCACTGGAGATGTGATCGAAAACAAGCAGCTGAGTAGAAAACGTCACCCAAAACCTCACGGGCGCGTGAGATGCCGGCCTTGCTGCAAGGGGTAACTTCCATGTCCTTTCTTTCCAGGCATGCTTCTTTCTAAAAAGCCACCCAAAACCTTTGGGAAACAGCTGTTTTTTGAAAAGAATGGGGAATCAACTCCTAGATTGCTACATGTTTTGTAGGGTCTCTTCCCTGTGGTTCAACAGACCTCACATGGAGTTTCTCCAGGCCGGCGAAGCCGCCAGCTCAGAAACCCCTCACTTTGAGGAAAAGGCCCCTTGTCCACTTCCAATCAATCCCTGTCCTTTTCCAAGTTGGTCCAGCAAAGACCAGCTCGCCTTGTTGCGTGCCTTCTGCTCAGACATGCGGGTTCTCCGTAGGGAACGAGAGAATCATCCCAAACCGAACCATCCAACTGGTGGTGCATCCTTGGGTTCATTCCCAACATCCCTCAAATGGACAAATGGATTCTTTGTAGCCCCAAAATGTTTGGGGCGCCCACTCAAATTACAGGCCAACCAATCGCGGCGGCGCCGCCCCGGCCGCCAGGACTTCATGAGAATGGACGTCAACATGGTAGCCAGGACAACGATGGCATCGCAACCTGAGCCCCGCGCCCCCCGCCCCCCCTCCAGCCAATCCTTGGGCTGGCCAATGAGCGATGAAAAATGATCCTGGGCAAATGGGACGAGTCCTGCCGCAGTCCAACTTTAGTTTCGGAACCTTTTGATGACGCTTGTAAAAGGAAGCCAACCCATGTCCGTCTCAAAAAGGTCGCCACGTTTTAACAGCTATCGGCTGCTTCTGGGTTCTCAAGCGTCAAGGGCCCCTTGATTCCATCTTCAAAAGGTAGTCCGAAGGCTTCAACAAATACCACGGGTCTGTCCAATTTGGGGGTACCCTACTGGTTCTCAAAGGAAAACCAAACTGCACCCAGCACCTCGGCCTGGAACCGGCCTCCCCTGCCTGCGACCACACGGAGGCGCCAGGCTTCTCGCCCCCCCAGCTTCCTCGGGAAGCGACCCAAGGGAGAGGGGTGCCAATGGGCGGGGGGTGAGGTGGTCACCCAACCAAATCCGAACTGTGCGACCAGGAAAACCACCAGCTGGCATAAGGATCTTGCGGCTTGATCTTGACAACAGGAAAGGGGGGGACTGGTCAGAACAGCAGGCAAATGAACCACGTATTCTTCGAGAGAAAGATTGGTCCCAGTGGCTTTCTGCGGGCCAATTAAAAAGACTATGTCCCCCACTTTGACACATCCGCATGTGTGATGCAACGGGCAAAGCCTGGGCTCTGGGTAGACCCTGCAAAAGTTCAACCCCCCAGATGGCATGTCAAAACCAGGCACCCCTTGTGCGGATGCAACAGGAACCCCAAAAAAAACCTACCATTTGGGGTGCCCCAGCCACCAGCGCATGCATCAGTGCACCAGGATTAGGTCACCCCGGTACTACGGAACGTGGGGAATCAGTGAATGACCCCAAGCTGAACCATCCCTTTGAGTTCCTTTAAGAAACCACTGGTCCAGGTAGGTACGGTGGATGCCAACTCAATACCGCAAGCAGGGAACAAAGGAAACCCCTGTAGAAAGATTCTATGGTCCTGGTTTGTTTATAAGGGCAATAATGTTGACCCCGGATGAATAAACCCCTGTTCATTAATGGAAGAGGTCCCTGTGTTGAGTGGGGAGTAAGACCACTTTTGGAGGGGAGCACCCCCCCTTTATTCGTCCGGAGCCATCATTATGGCCAGCGGGGAATCCCTGCAACGTACCACATGTGTCCATGGGTCAAACTCCAAATCGTACCCCCAGTGAACATCCCAATCCTCACTAAAATAGGTTCTAAAATGGGTAGTGAATTCACCTACCAACCAAAATTGGATCCCAAAACGGTTTTGACAACCACGGCCCCACGGCCACATCTGTCTCAGGTCGCAGCGTGAGCACGTGCTGGGGCACGTCTTGCGCCGGCCGCCCCGTGGCGAGCACCCGGCCGTCCATGCGGCAGGCGGTGAAGCTCAACCTCGGCCCCGCCAAAAGAAGAAGAAAAAAAAAGGAACCCAGGTGGGTGTGGCTCAAAAATACAAACAAAACAAAAAAAAATAGCTCAAAAATAGGGGTCCAAAAAATAGGAATGTCAGAAAATGTTGGTCGTAAGTGGACAAACAGTTGCCCTCTTTGGGCATGGTACCAAGTGCTGGTTGCCAAGCTTTGCGCCTGCAACATACTGTGGATGGTCGCGAAATCCATTTCGCACCACCTAAGAAACCAAGGGAGTCCACTGTTGGTTGGTATTTTCAGGGGAATCATCTTTCCAGGGTTTCTTAGGTGCAGGATTTCGTCCATCCACAGTAGGGGCCCAAAATGGAACCCTGGTACCCAGATCTTACCAGGCAGCGATTTATGTACCCCCTGTTCTGGGGGGTGGGGGGTAAAAAACACAACGAAAAAGAACTAGAAGCTGTACATCATGAGTTTTTCTCTGACATTAAGCCGCACCAGCTTCAAACAAGATACAAAGCTGCGACGATCTTTACTGTACAGATCTGAAGCAGCATGCATGCTCCACTTTCGAATTATCGGAGCCTCATCAGCCGTTGTCATCCCATGTCAAGGCGTAGCGGCAAGCGCATTGGGCCGCTGGAGCGGCTGCGTTGCTTCGCAACATGTGGCACGTGCGACTCGCATCGCACGTGGTGGCTTCATCAGGTTGACTTGCCACTGCATCTGCACTGTCGCCTGTCCAGTCCCAGGTGATGTCCCATTCGCACGTCTCCTCGTCCTCATCACATTCAAAGGTAGATATGTCGCTCTCCGAGAGGCCGCGAGACTTGCTCATGACAAAGTCATGGTTGCACGCAAAGTGTGCAGGGAAAATAGCTTGAGGCTCGGCTGGCAAACGGAGCCTTGCAGAGAAACGGCGGTCAAGCAGACGGACCCGTTCCATCAGTATTTCCACATGATGCCGAACTGCATCTGCAACTTGAAACGGTAGCCAGCAAAAAATGATGAACTCATGTGGCGCTGTTGCCGTGAAGCGCAGCCAAGTTTGCGACTTGACGACCTTGCTAAGGATGGTCTGGGCGAGTGTGTGTTGCATAGCAGCGTTGTCACTTCCGCTGACAAGCGGCACTCGGACGACCTGTACACTGGTGAGATTCCCATCCCAACTCTCAAACATGCCATCCGGCGTGCCTGGAGGCATGCGGCCGCCGAAGCTGCGAACGAGCTCCGTCTCGGACCAGGTCCGACGCACCTCCACTCCAAGGGCACAGTCATGTAGTGCCAGCTCCTCTGCCCTCAAGTTGAAGGGATCCATGTTCAGGCTGTGATCCACAACGCCCTGACCACCCGCACTCGGGGAGCAACCCCCCATAGAGGCCGTTTCTCGCATCGCCGCACAGGCCGCAGCGCCTATTTTCGCCCTTGATGTCTCCCATAGCTCCGCCTGCGGAGCCGCTCTGCATGCCAGTCATGGCAGGGCCGTCCGTGCCATCCATGCTTGAAGAGGGCACCATTGTGGACGGAATGCTAGCTGCTTTGCTTACAGAACAGAACCTAGAAGCTCTATATCATGCATATCATATCCCGCTTTACCCCTTGCAGAGTTTGGGGCCAGTGTAAAACGTGGTTTGGGTCCAAACCACGTGTCCCCGAAAGTTCTCCGCGGCGAATTTGGGACATCCTACGTCTGGTATGTCAGCAAAAGCTTGTCTTTGCTGCAGGAAACAAATCCAACCGCCTTCTTTTGCAACCCAAGCCAGCCAACTTCATCGGATGCGTTGTTTTTCTTGCGGAGGACACCGGACTCTGACACCCCAACTCGAACGCTGGACCCGCGCTTTTTGGGAAAGCGGGGGATTAAAGTTTCCCCAAAAGGGCAGGGTGCAGATTAACATCCTGGCAGGGTTCTTGATATGTTGCTCCAAATCGTCCAGAATGGTTTCCGCATCGTTCAGGACAGGGTAAAGTTCCCGAAACGCACCTGTAGTTCTGAATCCCTGAACAGCTTCCCAAAAAACCCAGAGCTCAGTTTGCCGCAAATTTCCCGCGCGCATCAATGAATTCGAGCGACGGCCTTTATTCGCCCGAAACAAGGGCTTCTCCCTGACCCAAGCCAATTCAGGGTGACTTGAAAACCGCATGGATGCAAATGCTTCGACCTCAAAGTGTATGCAAGCTGACCAAACGGCACAACACAAGCAGGCGATAACTCTTTTTTCCAAGCATTGTGTTGGTGCCAGGGACTCGTCTTCCCTTTCATGAGTTCCAGGTTGGGTGGTCCTCCGTGCCACCCGCTTCAAAATCCTGGACAGGAAAGCAGGCGCCCCAAGGCGAACTCCGGAGGTGTGGAAGAAGCATGCCCATGGCCAGACCCCTAAGAACGCGGGCCAGCTCTTCAGCCTGTCGCCGGAAGAGCTCTTGGCCATTGAGAAGCGGACCCACCCGCGCACGCGCAACACGGAGGACATTGACCCCGTCATCTACACATCCCCGGAGGGGGGGGCCGCTCCCCACGATCCACCTGGGCCGTGATCTCCAGGGATGTGTAGATGACGGGGTCAATGTCCTCCATGTTGCGCGTAGGGCGGGTGGGTCCGCTTCTCAAAACCTCTTCCGGCGACAGGCTGAAGAGCTGGCCCGCGTTCTTAGGGATCTGGCCATGGGCATGCTTCTTCCACACCCCCCCAAACATCCGGAGTTCGTTTTGGTGCCGCTTGATAGCCCAGAGGATGAGGGCCAGCTTGCCCCCCTCCGATTCCAGGTCTGGCTGGGGAACGGACTCCAAGCCCGGGCAAACCCAACACTGCTGCCACCCAGCGCCGCGCGACTTGCACACGCGGTCGTAGTCTTGCCTGCCCGGCATCCAGCCTGCGCGTGCGCTGGGCGCCAATCCCCACCTTGCTTTGCTGGAACTGCAAGCGCCACACCTCGCCGACAAACTTGTGGAAGAGGGCCCCCATTTCCAGCACCGTTGTGTCCCGCAGCAAAGCCGCGGCTGAAGCCGGCAGCAGCGGGTCCACCACCTTGAAGTAACCAGCCTTGCTCACCACCGGTTCGAGGGTGACTAGCTTGATCTCCACCGCGTGACTGGGTTTCGAGGCCGCCACAAATCCTTTCATCTTCTTGGCCTGCGGGGCTTCGTCGCTGGGTACCGCATCGCCCATATCCACGTCACCCTCGTCCGCGGGGCCGGAGGCACCCTTGCCGGACTCGGGGCGGTCGAGCATAAACTGCAGGTGCTCCAGGGCCTTGGAGAGGCTATCCACCACGTCCGCTGCCGCCCCTCTGGGGGGGTGGAAGGTTCCGCCAACACCAAGCCTGCGGCCACTGCTGCCTCCCGGTCGCGCATTTCCTGCGCCTCCTGGGTGGCCATCGCCACATCCGCCTCCGTGACCTGCTGCTCCTCCACCAACTCGAACGAAGACACGGTAGACACCGAAGAGGCCATTGCAATGGGTGTTTTTAAACTACAGAGGGTTCAACAAACCCAAGGCAATGCTTGAGCCAAAATGGCATATACGCCATGTTGGCCAAGCATTGCCTACACAGTACATGTTTCCACATGTTCCAACATTAAACAACAATTCCTGTCTATGCCAAAGACGTTGCATGAGTCACAGACTTGCCAATCACATCCCAGCCTATCATGACGGAACCCTCGGAAGACTTCAACGTTCAAAGGAAAAACTGGGAAAAACATGGCCGGAGCCCCAGAACCTAAACCGATCCGAGCCAAAGGGCTGGTCGCTGTTGTCGATGGCCATCACGGGAAAGCCCTGGCACATCCTGAGCTCCAAACCCGGGTCCGGTTTCTGACGGAAAACCGTGGGAACACCCAGGGGTAGGAGAGTTGCAGAATGCTTTAGAGGGAAACCCAAAGCAATCTTGCCTCAGTGGACAAATGACAGGAGCCATTTTCGACTGCCCTTTGGTCAAGGGAACCAACAATTTTAGAGTTGCGTTTGGAGACAAACCCACGCAATTACAGGCATCGTAACGCCGGCAAGTTGCAGCATCAGCCTACCTGATGCCATCTCGAGGTGTCCATACAACCTCAGCTCTGCGGGCACGTATTCTGCCCGCAACAACAGCGAAATGGAGCCAAAACGAATGCGGGGTGGGTCGGTTTTCTTGGACACAGAATCTGGCTAATGCCACTCATGCTACTGGGATGTCTAGGCATCCTTTTGAGTCACGGAAAAGGGGTTACTCGAGGCTTCATGTCTATCAGCCCAATTGCAAGGAACCACGTCTTGACATACTGTGCGAGGTGGAAACGGACCAAGCGTCCGGCTGCAAATCTCGGTCCAGGATTTCAAAGCTGCCGGACCTGTCGCGCTGGCCAGCTAAGTTGCGTTGTGTGAGGCGCAAAAGGCAAGTGGGTCCGAAATTCGGGGAAGCACGTTCAACACCTCAGACCGAAGGGTGCAAGTTCGACGAGCGCGGGGCAAGTCCTGCGAGTCCGCTCCCCGCCTTCCGGGCACCACCACGGCTCTTGGTGTCTCCAGAACCGTGGCGTTTTGGCCCATGGAGTGCAACCAGAGCTGCATGCCGTTGGGCCCGCGGTCCTGTTCCGGATAAGAGGATGCCCGATGCCCCCGGTTTGAGTTGACCCTCAAAGCACCCCTCACCTTGGGAAGGGCTCCCTCACCTTTTGGGAAACACCACAGTTCTCAGCGACCCTTCACGTCCTGCAGATAGGCCACCAGCAGTGGCTGCCGGCCTGAGGCTTTGGTCTTTCATTTTGCTCGGGCCGACTTGTCTTTTTTTTTTGGCGGGACCCCCATAAAATGATGGGTGTCCCTTGGCTTCCCTGTAAAACCAACCAAAACGACCCTCCAAAGAAAGCCGGGCCAAGTTACCCAGAGATCTCTCCCCACCTGAAGCCCAAGCCGACCGGATCCCAACTCTTCCCGCCTGAGCCTCCCAGGATGTTGATCTCCCCGGTGCTCGGATTTCTCAGGCCTCGCTCGCACGCCGCGCGGGGGGTCGGTGCGCCTTGAAAATTTTGCCGCGCGCGGCTCGGGCGAGGCGGATCAAACCTTCCCCCCCCCCACCTCTTCCATCGCACGCCCCAAAATTTGGCATCGCCCGAGCCAAACCGGGGGGAAACAAAAAGAAAGATCGAGCCCTGAGGCTCCGGCGGTCGGCTTCTATCAGGAACCGTGCTTCGGTTTCCGGCAATACCAGCTCCCTGCCTGAGAGTCACAAGAATTCTTGAAGGGGAGACCGCGGAAATGCCGCTGCCTCTGATTCGATGCATTCCCTAGGAAGTCAAAGCCCACGGCCCACATCAACCAGCTCAATGAAAATCGCTTGTTGCATGTTTGTCCGCCTTCTGAAACTGGTCCGCGAATGCCTTTCGCTTCTTTCTAGCAGTCCCGCTTGGCCAAGCGGGCCCTTGCTTCTTAGTTGCGCAGGAAGGTTCGGTCTAACCGAAGCAACTTGACCCCACGGCCCCACACACTCCCTGGATGTATTCATCTTGGTATGATCTTGGGATCTTCACAAGCCCCCAACCTCCCTGGCAAAGATTGCAGGTTGACCGAGAGATGGTGAGACACGGTTTTCGCATAGAATCCCTGGACAAGGTATCCAAAGTGTCCAAACCCCACAGGAAAAGAGTGGTGCCCGAGACTTCCAAGGCTTCCAGGGGCGCCGACTTGTCACACCTACGAAACGCAAGCGGTTTGGGCTGGGTCGGAGTTTGGCCCCTTTTCCCGGGTCGTTCAGGTGACATCCTAAAACATTACTTTTCAAATTGTGGCTCAAGGGAAACAAAAGCCCCAAACACAAAACTTTGAGAAGCCCTTCAAGATGTAGCCGCTTGAATGCACGCACAAGCATCCCGCCCCCTTGTGCTTTTCGCTCCGTGGGTTTCCGGGCAAATGATGGGCGGCAGCGCATCTGCTGGGGGCGCGCTGTTCCGCGCCGCCGTGGGCGGCAGCGAGCCCTGGCCACTGGAACGCTCCCCAAAACGCCGCGGCGTTTTCACCTGGCTCTTGCCATTGACTTGTTGCCATTAAAATGGCTGTGGGTCAAAAATAGGCTAACCCCAAAATGGAACCGTGGTAAATGTAAACCTGGACTAAACCTGCGGTCCTCTGGTGGTTTCATTTTGACCCATACCCACATGTTGCCATTGACATGGTTCTTGCCATTAACTTCTTGCTCCATTGACTTTTGATTCGCGAGGAAAATGGGTATGGATCAAAATTAAACGTTTTAGTGACAGGTGTCCTCACCAGCCTGCCATGTTGGGTACCAATTTTGAGCCAACCAACCCTGGTCCCCTTTAAAGGAGGTTTGCTCGGAAAAAACATCGATTTGAACATGTCTGAACAAGGGGTTTGGCACCCTGGAGAAAGCTTCGAGTGGAAACGAGAAAAAATTGCTCCGGCGGTGATCTGTTGGTGGTTCTAAACGAATGGAATCGCCCAATCCGCCCTTCGTTAGTTTGAAGCCGATCACAAAAGGGTCCAGCAAAAAGTCATGCCGCTTTGCCTTTCCAAACAACCTTCAAGCAGCCATCAAAACCAAGGTGGCAAGCCCCAGATTTCGCTGGG